ACTTCCTACTCTGAAGCTGCTACAGATCCTAAATGGATTGCTGCCATGCAGTCTGAGATTGATGCTCTGCTGGATAATCACACATGGAGTATAGTTGATTTTCCTTCAGGAAAGTCTCCTATCGGGTGTAAGTGGGTGTACAAAATCAAGCACAAAGATAATACGGAGGTTGAAAGGTATAAGGCAAGGCTGGTAGCTAAAGGTTTTAGTCAGAAAGAAGGGCTAGACTACACAGAGACTTTCTCTCCTGTTGCTAAAATGGTGACTGTCAGGTCTGTTGTGACCATTGCTGCAGCTAAGAGGTGGTTTATCTATCAAATGGATGTGCATAATGCATTCCTCCAAGGTGATCTCTTTGAAGAAGTATACATGCAGCTTCCTCAAAGGTTTGGCAGCCATAGGGGGAATGATAAAGTGTGTAGACTGCACAAATCCCTTTATGGCCTGAAACAAGCACCTAGGCAGCGGAACAAGAAACTTACTGAGGCTTTACTACAACTTGGTTTTAAACAAAGTCATTTTGACTATTCCTTATTTACCAAAAAGACTGGAATTCATCTAGTTGTGGTCTTAGTGTATGTAGATGATCTCTTGGTAACTGGTAGTTGTCCTGCATTGATTCTACAGACAAGGAATGATCTCAAGTAGAAGTTTAAAATGAAAAACTTGGGCCAGTTGAAATTCTTTTTGGGCTTGGAGTTTGCTAGATCACAAGAGGGGATCCATATAAGCCAAAGGAAGTATGCACTAGAGTTGATATCAGAAATGGGGCTTGGAGGTGCTAAACCTGCTAGCACACCTCTAGAAGCCAATGTCAAGCTGACCTCGTTTGAGTATGACAGTCATGTAAAAGAGAAAACAATGGAACCTAGTGATCAGTTATTAGATGATGCTGGTCCATATCAGAGACTAATTGGAAGACACTTGTATCTAACAATGACTAGAGTGGACATATCTTATGTTGTGCAGGTGTTGAGTCAGTTTATGCACAAGCCTAAGCAATCTCATATGGAGGCAGCTTTAAGGGTGGTCAGATATGTCAAAGCTGAACCAGGTCTTGGACTGTTAATGCCTTCAGAAAGCTCGGGAAAACTAGTAGCATATTGTGACTCTGACTGGGGTGGATGTCTTGATTCCAGGAGATCAGTTACAGGGTACACTGTGAAGTTTGGTGATGCCTTAGTATCCTGGAAATCCAAGAAACAGGAGACAGTAGCAAGGAGCTCTGCAGAGGCTGAGTTCAGAGCCATGGCATCTACAGTTGCTGAAATAACCTGGCTGGAAGGGTTATACAAAGAGCTAGGAGGTAACATTAAGCAGCATGTACATTTGTTTTGTGATAGCAAAGCTGCAATCCAAATTGCTGCTAATCCAATATTTCATGAAAGAACCAAACACATTGATATTGACTGTCATTTTGTAAGAGAAAAAATTGTTCAAGGGCTAGTTCAAACACTGCATGTATCGACAAAAGAACAACTAGCTGATCTGCTCACTAAGGGCTTGGGAAGACTGCCACATGAATACTTAGTTTCCAAGCTGGGATTGAAGAACCTGTTTCAACCATCAGCTTGAGAGGGGTGTGGTTAGATTTATGACAGCTAGGATTAGAGCAGTTCACAAGATAATTATTCTAGAATCAGTTAGAAGGTTAGAAAGTTGTTAGAGTTAGTTAGCACAGTAACTTTCCTTTATATAGACATAGCATTGTAAAAATATTTTTAAGATGCTTTCAGCTTAATGAGAATGAGTTCTCTTTCTTCTATTCTCTCTGTATCTTCTTCTTCCTGATCCTTTTGCATCTTCTAGATGGTGATTACTCCATAAGTTTACACAATTATTATGAATTAACAAAATAAGGTCCAACCCCTTTGCTTATATTTATTTCTATTGAAGATTTTTATTTAATAAAAAAAAGTCAAAGGAACAATTATTATGAATTGAAATGTCAAAAAAAGTCAAAGGTCAATGGCATTATTAAAAAATGTATTTTAGGAGAAGATTTATTTTTAGTTGGGTAAAATTTAATAAACTGAGAAAGATATAAAGTCATTTTAATTTATCTTTATTACAATGTGAATTTACATTATAATTTCGGATATTATTTTTTATCAGTTTAATATCTAGCTAGAGATATTTCTATAATTCTCTAATTAATTTAATAAATAAATGGTCTCCGTTGTAGAAGACTTTTTCTTTGCACAATTCACTTTATTCCTACATTTCTATCATACGTACTAGGAAGCTTCATGTATTAAATAGAATAATAATAATAATAATAATAATAATAATAATAATAATAATAATAATAATAATAATAATAATAATAATAATAATAATAATAAATAATGGCATTAAATGTCATTTTCAACAACATATATTTAGGTATTATATTAGTTGAAAGTCAAAGTCAGCAGGCTATATCCAATTACATAATAGAATTAAAAGCAAAGTTTTATAAATTAAAGCAGCATCTAATACTTATTAAAAAGAATTCACATTATTTGTCAAAGACAACTCTTGCCACAGTTTTGGCTTAATAGGAGTTGGGGTGTGAAAAATCGAATTGACCAATAAATTAAATTTAAAAATATCTTATTGGATTTATGGGTTTTTAATGATTTTATTAAAAAAAATTATTGAGTTATCGATTTGATTTTGATTTTTAGTATTGAGTTATTGGGTAAATCGATAACCCCATTAAGACAATAGTATTTTACTACTTTACCCTTCAAAAATATTAAATATTAATAATTTATCATGATTAGTTAAACACTATATCAGTGCTTTACTACACTACAATATACCTAACTAAATATTATCTTTCTTGTTTTACTATATCAAAACACTTACAGCTAATTTGATTGTTTCACTATATCACGCCAAATTATTAGAGAACTGAGAAGTTATATATTTATTTTATGAGCAATTTTTTATTGGGTAAACCGAAAATCAATTTGTTAACGACCAAAAATTGATAAACCGAAAATTGATAAAAATTATCTTATTGATTTAGCGTATTTAAACATCGAAAATCGATAAACTAAATCGATAATACATAAAAATCGAACCAAACCAACCGATGCACAACCTCTGTCTCTAATTACTTTTATAATCTTTTTTATTTATTCTTTTATAATCTTTTATATATCTAATAAAATTATTTTTTTCTTTATTATGACTATATAATACTCCCTCTGTCTCTAATTACTTGTCCACTTTTCCTTTTTTAGTTGTTCCTATTTACTTATCCATTTTGACAAATCAAGAAAGGACAATTTTTATAACTTATTATGCCCTCAATTAATTACTTTGAAAAAGGTAGAACTTTTTAAAAACCTTAACTTTTTAATTCATACTTCCTCCATTTCATATTAATTGAATTGTTGAAACATTTTTCATTTTTCAAATTAACTTAATTGTTCAATTTTCAAGACTACTTTTAGAATGTTTTTCCAATTTTACCCTTTATTAGTTAGTGTTGGAATTAGTTATTAATTAATGTTTAGGTTTATTAATCATAATTTTGATAATAATTAATAAGGGTAAAAATGGAAAGTTAAGCCTAATTTTTGTCTTAATCTTCTTTTCTTAAAGAGTGTGGAACACCTCAACAATTCAATTAATATGAAATGGAGGGAGTACACTTCATAATTAATAGGGGTAAAATTAATGATAAACTCACTATGTCAATAATTATTTTCTTAATAGGTGTGTCAATTCAAAAGTGAACGAGTAATTAGGAACAGAGGAAGTATAGGAGTACATCAAATAACAAATATATTTTTCTTTAAAAAAAATTCAATGATATTTTTTATGGGTCAGTTTGAACTATATATCAACTTAAATTTTATTCAAATAACATACATTTGGGCATTATGTTGAAAGTAATAGAATTAAAATCAAACTTTGATATGAAGAAGTAGTGAAGCACCAGCTAGCAAGCATATCTATTAATTATACATGAATTAAAACCTCATTACAACATATTTTTGCTTTAATTTTTTTATACGCTCGAGAATAATTTCAAATAAAATTCAATACACTTCAAATAAATAAGGTTTCATGTTTGAATTTTAGGTATGAAAAAATCTTCGGTATAGGGAGTGATTCCCTCCGAAAGGGGTCTACACGACTTAAATTCGGATATAGTCGTACTCCAATATAAGTATCGGACATCAGGTGGAAAAAAAACTTCCGTCTATCACATTTATTATTTTTATTAATTTTTCAATTTCTAAAATTATCAACTTTATTTTAAAAAGTACACTGCCCTACAAAAACACATGTCTACTAAGGTGTTGAAGTTATAAAAAGAAGTATTGTGTTTGGACATGAATTTCAGGTTGAAAAGAGAAGAAGTTGAAGCTTTTAGAACGGAACTTGAAATACTACTCGATCAAATTTATTTTGACGTTGTAGGTATTAAATTTCCCAAATTTCTTCGTATGTTAACTTCTTTTTATAAAGAATCTCCTAATGTTTGATACTTTTAGACTGGTGGGTACGTACGGAGAAAGTGGATGCAGGCAACTTATATAGAACACCACGCTATAAAAGTTGGACTTTGGAATAGTTAGTTAAACAGAAAGGATAGCATCTAATAGTTTAATGTCAAAATAATTGTTATTTGTCAAATGTGAGTATTGTAATTATTTATATAGTCATACAATATCATCAATTCTTTGACATTGCCCTTTCGTACCAATGATTTGATGATATCCAATTTGTAGGATAAAATTATGAAATGTCAAAATCAATAGTCAATGGGATTAAAATATTACTTTGGGAGAACATTTCGTTTTCCATGCTCAATAAAATCTATTACGACTGAGAGTCATTTTAATTTGTTTTAATAATGATAACTATCATAGTCATTGTTTAATAATATTTTAAAATTATTTTAACAAGTTATGGATTACTGTAGTTATTTTTCTGTAGACTTCATTATGGTAGGGTAAAATTAAAAAAATATAATGATATAAATTTTAATTTATTGATTACAATAGTCGAAAAACTACAACAAAATTCCAATTGCACATTTATAATCCAAGAATTTACAGTAATGTTATATATGCTGATAGTATAAAATTTATTTATATTATCTTAAATTGAGATAACAGATTAATTAT